TTTATTTAGAAGAGCCATTTGAAATTGATGGAGAGGTGAAGAAGTTGGAAAATTAGCCTTTGGTGATCCTAGCGGAGTGGTGTCTCTACTAAAGTCACTAGAACTAGAATGCTTACCGGATTCAATGATTACTTGATGTCACTTGAAATAGCAATATATGTGCTCTCCCTCTTTTCTCTTCCATTTGCCCTTACAACTCTTTCGAGCTCAGGATTCAAGGGCATAAGAGATAGGGCTCTATAGCTGCGTTTGGGCATAAAACAAAGAGAATTAGATAGGAGATTAGTAGGTTAGTCAAATAATAAAGAAATATTAAGCTATAAAAATGAACTAGTCTCACATATTCCATAAGTAACTCAATGCTCAACGCCATTCCCCGACAACGACGCCGTTTCGACGGAGTGTAATCGGTCATTAGACAAACACCCTAAAGTCAAACACTATTTCTACCAAAAACAACCTAAGACAAGTCTAGGGTAAGTAAAGGATCGTATCTAGAGGGAATGAGTATGAGTACACCAAGAATATGAAACGATTGTAATCTAGTTCGGTCATATATTGGGGTTTTCAAAACTAGGGGGGGATTAAGAATTGACACCAACTAAACCAATAGATCAATACAATAGGCAAACATGAACACAATGGGTGATACAAAAGGGCACTCAACATTGTCTTCTTCCGAAGCTACAATACTAAGCATTCCTAAGCCAAACTCAACTTACATGATAGGCTAACCAAGATTCAACTATGGGAAGTAGACTACTTACTGGGGTTTGTATTTCGAGCGGTTTGAGAAAGCAATAAGGCATAAGTAATTTGGGATTTCTCACCTAAATTTTGCAACTAAGACTACAATATCATCTAAGCAAGGAGCCGTAATGAAGATAGAAATTCGGTACAATCATATAAGAAAAGGGTCACAACTAGTCCTCATCTTTCAATGCAAGCACAGAAGTGAAAACATGATCAATAAGTGGCCATCCAATTACACGATTCTTTAATAATCAATTAACAACCCGAAGTGAACATGTAAGAACAAATATCAATCAACCCATAGATTGGTTCAGTCTTCACCCAACCTCTAGCTAAGAAACTACTTACTAATAACAATGTCTAAATTCAACATTAATTTAACAATTTGAGAGAAGTACTAAGAACAAAGTAGATTGAACATGCAACAAATAATCAAGATTAGAGAAGAAATTAACATCTCTGACCAATTAATGACCAATTAAAAACAGAAAATAAAGAGTAAGAGATAGAGGAAAGAGATTACAATGGTTGAGTTTTGAGAGAAACTAAGCTAATTAAATAGATTTATAAGAAATTAAGGGCCTAAGAAGTCTAAAAGGGAAGAAGATCCCAAAAAATGAAGCCGAGGGGGTATTTATATTCCCAGGAATTACATTGTAAAATCTGTCAAAAAACAAGTTTCAGAATGTAGGAGCGCCCACTCCAGGATAATTTGCGCGCCCGCTCCTCAATAGCACAGCAAGGCACAACAAGGCAGAAGTTGAAGAACTGAAGAGGAGCACGCGCTCCTCGTATAGTGTGCCCGCTCATCTCTAAGGAGCGTCCTCTCCTTGGGGGTTGCATGCCCGCTCTTGTTGTTCATTGTTTGCACTAAGGTTCTTTATTGCCTTGGCTTAATCCTTAATTTGTCAAAGGTACCTACAAAACATGAGAAAACACACAAAGAGGGACGAAAATACCAAAAGCTATAATTATAAACAAAAGGAGTTAGAAAGGGATTAAAGTATGGGAGAAGACTACAAAATCGTGTTAAAAATGCCATGATAAGTGGACAAATAAATACTAGGCACTCTTGCAACTTCTTCTTAGCATCAAAGTTTGTGTTGTTAGGAAATTGTTCTTTGAGTTCTGAACTTTGCCCATGTATGTATCTTAACTCTTCCTGCATCGATGTCTACGTGCTTGGTGCGCCACCTAAACCTAGCATCTTCGAACAATTACATGATTGTTGTATCTACCTTCTGGTCGTCACCCAATTAACATATGCAAAAATACTGCTCCATGTCAAAGTGGAAGTTATCAACTTTTTTGCCATCTCTAGCGCCGCTCCAATACCACTATCGTCTTTGCCTGCAATGCACATTAGGGTATAACTTTTTTTTAGTGCTTCATCGGCTTGTTCTTGAGCAACGCGCAACTCGGTCCTTTATCAAATTCACAATTTGTTCGGCTGCTTGAGCATAATTACTTCAAGTTAGGACCATCGATATGCCTTGAGCCAAGCAAGTCATTCTTCTAAATTCATCCTGGTGTAGCCCTCCATTGGTGCCTACACGGGTGTCTAACGACTAGGTTTGGACTTCTGATACCAACTGTCACGGTCTGGGAAAAGGCAAGGACGCAAGCCTTGTGTGGAAATGGGGCTTGTGAGCGTAAAGAAACACAAGTGAGCAATTAAATCTAAAGGGCGCTAGCGTCCATTCGCGACGGAGTGCGGGTGGTTGGGGCTTGTGACAGTCGATAATTCAAAGCAGGTACAAGCGAGTCCGAACCATGATTTCTTAGTGCATCAAGTTAGTGGGGAAGAAAGCTAAGTAAGTAAGACACAATATCTATAAAATTCTAACACCTTTTTTATTTCATTCAATCATTCACCTTCTAAAGAGCTTTAGTTAGCATTTACATAGAATCCCTAGTAAACACTATAACGAAAGTAATACAATAAATGCATCTAAAGCCTAGAAAACTTAAAGTAAACTCTAAGAAAGCATTAGAAGGGAACCTAATACATAGAAAGAAAGGTTGGATCCTAACACTTTGGCTTGTAATGCATATATGAAGAAGGCAAAAGGTTGCAAATGGGGGGTAACAATGCCAAACTAAACAACAGTCTTATATACAACAAAGAAAACCAACTCCTATGAAGATAAAATGAAAATTTTCCTCAATCACTGTTTGAGGCACTTTCTCAAGAACAAACAATGCGAGTTCTTGATGTAGATGGCTTCAATGAGAAATAATAAACCACGCATGAAATTGTGCAGAGGCTCAATTAGTAGACGTTGGCACATCACTAGAGAAAGCTACACCATCCTATCCCAATACTCCAACCCAAAATTATGCATTTTCTAAGAGGTTTTCCCTTACTAGCTACAATAAATTAGCTTCTAAGCTCAGCCAAAGACACCATCCATTCTCAAACTTTCATAGTTAAGGAATAAAATTAAATCTAATCATCCATTCATTAATATCATCATAGGGGAGCAATTAAAACAAAGAACTACACTAACAAAAACTACATGAAAAGGTAAATCTGTTTAGATTTTATTATTTGTATAGGGCTTTAGATTATGAAGGAAGCAATTTAAATTTTTAGGGTTTGGATTAAAAGGGAGCATAATACATCAAATCATCAACCAATCAAACTCATCAATATCATCAAATCAAACAATCAACTAGATCAAATCAACTCACACAAGGCAACTAAATTGACCAAAGCATCTTAATTAACCAAGCCATGCGGAAAAATTATTTCTCTAATGCACATGTATAAGGGTGAGAAGTGAGGTAATATGCATCATAATGCAATAATTTTAGGCTAAGTAGGCCATAAAATCAGGAAAAAGACCAAACACCAATCTAAAGTAGGCAAACTTAAGCTAGAACAAACGGCAAATCAAAACCAACCACTTCAATAAAACAGACTCATCGAAGCCTTCATATCCAACATTCCACATTCAATCATAACAAAACTCATGAAAAACTTGCAAAAGGAGTAAAACAATGAACCGCAAATGTATTACGAGGCACACATAATAATGTATAAAAATTGAAGTTATTCGAGGTAAGAGAGTGATAGTGAGACTGAAATGAGCTTTGTAGTCACTTTGTGTGATTTGTGGAACCATCCTTTTTTTTATTTGTAAGATAACTAACAAAAAATAAGAAAATTCTATGACCATTGACTAAGTACCCCAATTCTAACATGTAATGCAATCTGGGGAATAGATCTCTAAATTAGTTACAAAGATGACAAAAATTATAATTTCAATAAGTATAACATATGAGCAAAAGGTGCAAGGAAAAACCTACCATGTGTTATTATGTTTCCTCACAAAAGCAGGAAAATCAAATTACTATTTTATTGTTTAGTTATTTTTTTCATATTCTCAAAGTCAATCATTAAAGATGTCCAACCTTTCTGTAGTATTTGCTAATACATGTTTATAACATTTCAAAACTCAACATTATCAAAGGACACTAAGCTGCACGGAGGTCATTATATCACTATGGAATAAAAGCAAGCTCCACAACAACAACAACAAAGCCTTAGTCCCAAAAGGATAAAAGCAAGCTTCATAACATAAACTTTATCATGAATATCTGTTTTAAGCAAAAATTTTACCCTTCTGTTCCACTTTTATACGCCACAGGTTTTAGAGTATTATAAATGATGATTTGATTCTTAGTATCTTAACTAGGGGCTTGTTGTCAACATTTGTATAAATTATTAAGGATGATTTCTAATATTCTTATTTGTTTTAGCGAAGTGCTTAAATAGACTACTAACTTGATGTGGCCTATAACGAGGACATTTAATATGTTTTTAACGGTATCAATTTGGCTGGATAGAAGTTCAGACTTTAAATATCTCTATCTTGCACTATAAAAGCATTGTATGTTACGCATAACTAGCCTATTAACTAATTCAAGCAGTCCAATATATCTTATTATTACTTGCTGATAATGAATTCATGGTGATTATTAGTTAGCAGCATCCTCTCATTTTCCAGTCTGTTCCTTTTCTGTACTCTGAAACTCCTGGTGTCTGCTAACAAAACATTGACTTCAGCTGGATATAATTTCTCTCCCTCAAATTAAAAAAAGAAAAAAGTGAATACAATTCATACAAGTTTTTTCAATACTATAAACAATATATGTTTAGAGTTTCATTATTAATTGTTAGTCTGCTGCCATCTGAATTCCGACTGATGTTTTCTTGTACATTGTTGACATTATCTTTGTAGAGAGTGAAAGACAGCTGGAGGGTGGTGAACCACAGAGACATTATACCAACTGTCCCTCGCTTGATGGGTTATTGTCATGTGGCTCAGCCTATATATTTGACTGCTGGAAATCAGGAGAATGCTCCAGTACGTTCATATACTGTTTAAGTTCTACAGATTTTTTTTGTAGGCAGGAGATGCTTTCCTTTTACATACTTAACACCAATTTACGTGTAAAATATGACTGCTAGCATTCAGGCATCATTATTGGTTATATGATTGTTCATATGTATGCAACATTTCAGGAACATGTCAAGCTTTCTGGAGATGGCTATCAAGGGGATGTGATTGGGGAAGCAACACCCGATGTTTTAGTCAGTGAATTTGTATGTTCTGTTTTATCTCTCGCCTTTACTTATGTTTTACTTTTTCAAATTTTGTTTGTTTATTTGTATTTACCAGATTAATAAAAAGTTCAATGCATGGGGTTATACTGTAATAAATTGTAGAATAATCATACTTAATTTAGAATTAGGCTTAAGTGTGAAACCGAAGGTATTTTTTGTTCATTTGCCCAATTTTCGCTCATTTGGAGATCTAACATGATGATGAGGGTAAAAAAGGCCTGATGAGTAAAAGTTATCGAATTAGTAAGGGAAAAAAAAAAATTAATAAATAAATAAATAAAAAAAAGCCCTCAGGTGCACCTAAAATTTTCATGATATAATTATCCTCTTCTTAATCCCCTAAAATTCTGTAGATTGCATAAGTATATGAATTATGAATCTTATTTTTAATTTGAGCAATCAATGGTATGAATATTGTAAATCTTCAACGTATGTAGAAAAATTTATACTTGGACACTGTGATATAATTCATGTTATTCATTTATGGAAAACTTTTTGGTTTATCTTGATATACTCCATGTTACTCCCTCCGTTCCACAATGATGTCCCTGTTTTGAATCTTTGACTTTTTTAAGAAAGAGAGAATCTTCTAAATTTCTCTTTTTCTATAAGAGCAAATATAGTCATGTGGGATCTAGTTTGATTCGTCTTGGTGAGTAGATTATTAATATCTAACTTTTTTAATTTTTTGCTAGCGTGAGATTAAAGATATTTGCGATCAAAGATGGGTAAAATTTTGCATTGATTTGCAAAACAGGAACATCATTATGAAACGGAGGGAGTATTCATCTCTGGAAAAGCTTTTTAAACTCTTTATCTATTTATTTAAAATTAATACCTACAACATTTTATTTCCCAAAAACACTACATGTCCCATATTTTCCTGATGCTCTTTAAAAGCTTTTAGGATGGTTAAAAGATAAGGTTTATGTAGCAATCGCAGTGCTGCAGGAAAGGAAGTGATGTGTCAATCACAGAACATGCCATGATGCAAATTTGATTTTAATAAAGTCATTTAAGATGGATAATAATTATATGCTATTAGAGTAGACTATAAGAGGCTTAGGTCATGTACCTCTGTTTAGTAATTAACTTTAAAGTGAAATACGGAATGTAATATTCAATCGAGGGCATATTGGGGTTGGAATGTTTGACTTTGATGAGGTCTTTCTATTTTTATTTTTAATACACATGAACCAGATTATTTTTGGTTTGTCGATTTAAAATACTTTACAAAACAACCCATTTGAAACAACGTGGTCACATTTTGGCATGTGAGTGGTGAGTCTTAGTCTTATGTGACACTCTCAATGTTCCCATTACCACCATTCCTAAATTTTCTTAACATTTTCCCCATTAGTCTGTTCCTTAAAGCTCTTTACGCTTTTGCTTAATCTGTTTTTTGCAAACCCATTTACTACCTTCTTTTTGCACTTTTTCATTCACTCTCTCTTTTCATCCACCCACCTTTTTTTTCCTATCCATTCACCACGTCAACTACATTCTCTCCAGGCCAATTGCCTAAATTCTTGTGAGAATAGTAAATGTCGAAAACAAATAGGAATGGAGATAGTACATATTCGAATCTTTGGTGTTATATACTTCATAAAATATGTTGAAATATATATGGTACTATTTTTCATAAGAATGATGATAAATGCAGAAATCAGAATTTGAGTAGTAAAGTTACTACTAAAAGCTCTATAAAAAAATAAAAATAAATAAATAAATAAATAAAAAAATAAAAAAATGAAAAAAGAAATTTGAAGTTAAAGGATAAAAGAGGAAAGTTGTAAACGCCTATTAAAGTTTAGGGTGCATCCACCATCCTTTCTTTGCAAATATATGGTGAATATGAAGTTTTATAGATGCTAAACTGCTCCCTTTAATAATTCATTAGATGCTGGATCTAGATTGATTCCCAGGTCTGCAGTGCTACTCTCATTTCCCCCCTTTGAAGCATCAGGTCACAGGTGGAAACTAACAAAAACTGTCATCTTGCGATAGTCATAAAAGTTAAGGTGTCACCCAACAACTGACAGATTAAGGTGGGGTCTTGGTTGGATATTGGATGCAAAGCTTGGTCTATTTCCTAGTTTCATGTTAGTAATATCTCAGGGATGAAACAAACACATGACAAGATCAGATCAGACTTCAGGTAGCCCTTTAGCCTACTCTACAATATTAATGAGATAACAATTTGTTATTAGCCCTTTAGCCTACATACGACAAGGTTGTATTATGGGTACAATCTCCATTTCCTCTGGAAATCTGGCATGGAATTGAAATAAGCTGGAGTTATTACACAAGAGGAATCAAATTCAGAAGCAAGCCCAATGGGCAACTTTTTTATTTTATTTTTATTTTTAACTGATTTATCTTTTCGTCCATTCTCCAGCACCCAAATGGCTCTCAGTTCTTGAGAATGGTTGGGAGATGAAGCAATAGTTTAAAGAGCTTCTTGAAACTTTTTAAGCATCCTATAAAGGCAATGAGAAGGAATTTGGAGGACAGGGAAAGGAAAATCAGGGAGAATTAGGGCTCTATTGTATTTGCTTTTTGGCTATGGAATGGGGAGAGATTAGGGAAGAAATCTGAAGGATCAATATTCCTTTTGTGTTTTTTATTAACCATATCCTAATATTATTGGAAAGGTTTGTAAGTAAAAATGCAAATTCTCCCCTTCCCTTCCTTCATCTCACTTACCCTTCCCCTTTCCACCATAACTGCTATCCAAACATGGCATTAGTTGATACATGGGAGATCTTAGTATATGATTATGTTTATGCAGTTCAATATTTCTCAAAAATACATACCTAAACAATCAATGTTTTTTTTCTGAAAAAAATGCGTCTAACATAACATGACAATGAATGCCAGTGATTGCTCCAGAGTCCAGACGCTTGCTTAGGTCATTCCACAAATTCTGTACCAGTCTTGTGGCATCTTTTGTTTTTAGTAATTATAATCAGAACACTTGTAACTAGAGTAGGAAATTACCAAAGTTAGAATCAGCTGTTTTGGTTCTGCAAACTATTATTTACTGCACTCAATTTTTTGCATTGCTTTTGTGTATGCCAGTATATGCCCAGTACCCTTTACAACTGGATTCTATGTGTATTAACTTTAAAACCATTCTTCATTGCTGACTTTAGATTGTGAACATTTGTCCAGTATTTTAGGTACATCTCAGATAGTTGGTACGATTTATGTGGATCAGCACAAGCAGATTGCCAACTTGCCAAGTACCATTTATGTTAGAAACATGGAATCTGAAACTAGTATTTAATTTACTAGTATTCTGCTTCAGCAATTTAGTAAACATATCTCTGATTTGTATAGCATTTAATTCTTTTATTTTTTTTATTTTTTACAGTATATATTGATTGATGTTATTGTGTGTGTGGTGAAGTGGTACTATTAGCTTATATGCACACACTTTAATGGAACTAATAAAACCTGCTTGAGAAAACAAAATTACAAAATCCATCTTAACCCAATATTCTTTTGTTTGTATATTGATCAATTTCTTTTATTCCCTTTATTTATATTTTTGCATATTATGCAGATGAAAGGTGAGAGAGAATTAGTGGACAGGATACTGCAGACGGAGATAAATTTATTCCGGGCCATTAGAGATGGAAGCGCATTGATGCAACATATGGAGGATTTCTACTATATCTCATTGCTGGAGGTAGTTTCTTTGCTGAGCACTTTAATTGTTGTAGATTAGTCTACTATGGATCTATACCAGTGGCGATTCCAGGACTTTGCTGTTATGGGTTCGAAATTTCCAATCGTATACATTGATAATTCGGGTGTGCATAATACATTTCAATTTGAAGTGTTTGAGGTTCATTTTAAGGTGGAGATATCAATTTGAATTTAATTTGGGGAGGAATAAGCGTACAATTTTATGATTTTGACTCACGATTTTTCCAAAAAAAAAAAAACTCTAAACCTTTCATCTCCAAACTATAAAAAGCCCAAAATATATCAATATTGACATTTACTTTTTCACGTCATTTACACACTATCCATTAAATAATTTAATATGAAGTATTAACAATTTTACAACTTCAATCAACAAATTAACTACTTTAATCAATAAATATATTAACAATTTCAATCAATGATTTCACAACTTCAATCAACAATATTGGTATATGAAAACTTCACTCAACAATTCGATCTACAACCTCAAGTCTTCAATATCAACATTTTTACAAGCTTAACTAACAATTTTAAAACTTCAAAAATTTCAAATTAAACCTTCTTGGATGAGAGTGAGGAGAGAGAAATAATCAAATCTTCTTGTATGAGAATGAGAGTGAGGAGAGAGAAATAAGCTAGAAGTAGTATCTTGTCAAAAAAGAAGAAAAAAAAAGCTAGTATATATGTAGCATTGGGATTTGGGGGAAGGAGTACTTCAGCATTTAATGGGTTTCGAACCCAGTGCCTTTGTCTAAAAAGTCAAGACCTCAACCACTAGGCTGTTGTGCATATACAGATATAATTTACACTGTTTTATATTTAACCTTTTTTTCTGTACAAAAAACCTATACGATTTTTTTCGGATCCAGTATGGGTTCAGCTGCCACTGAACCCATACTGGAATCGCCACTGATCTATACTCAAGTTGTGTCACTTGTGTGAGTTCAATTGAAAGCGAGGTTATGTTTGGTGTGTGTAATGTGTGTGTGTGTGTGTGTTTGTTTGGTCTTCTTTTTTTTTTTTTTTTTTTTTGACGGGATGTAATGTGTTAATTGCTTAGAGGTTTTGATTGTTCATGGCAGAAGAGCTAGAATAAAGATAAAACCTTAGCTGAAAGCTAAAACATGTATAGCTATTGTTGATGCTGATTTTTTTTTTTTTTCTTTGGAAGAGTAAAGGTTTATACTTGATAGATATCAACCTAGCTAATCGTATTTATAGGGAATGATATAATCAGGAGTTGACCTTGGTGAAACCTGTTACATGATAATAAAGGATGTCTTTCATTATGTTTTATATAAATATAAGAATCATTCTGATTTGTTAAATGCAAGTAACCTGTAATATTCATAAAAATAAAGTTTAAGCAGTCAGTACTTTTAAGATAAAGAAGTTCTTTTTTTCGTAATCAGATTGAAAGATGAAAGGCAGTACTTGGATGTAAGTACAAACATGCATCATATGTTTTTATTCTTTTGGCCCTACCTTAGATAAATCTTAATTGCATGATAGAAATACATGTATTCGTGTTTGTAACTATGTAGAATGCAATTGGTCCTTGATTTGTGTGTTAATAAGCCAAAATTAAAATATTTTCTGAAAATATATGCAATTATCAAGCCAAAATTATATAAGCCTGAATTTTTTGTTATGGATATGGTTAAGTGTTGATTGACTTGTTAAAATTCTTTAGTGTAAGGAAATTATTTTACCTTCATGACTAAAATAATGTGCAAAATCAGAAGTAGAAACAAATTTAAGACATTGCTTGATTGTAAATCAAATCATTCATAGACAGGGCCATGAAAAGAGTTGTCCATAAAGAGAAAATCCTGGATAAACATAAAAGGTGGAACGCAAAAAGCCCCCCCCCCCCCCCCCAAACACACAGACTTTTGAATCACTCCCTTTTATCTTTATCATTATCCAATCCAGCTAGATTACTCGAGTACTAAATTATGTATCCTGTCAATTGTGGCTTCCACCCCATGTTTTATACTTTTATGTGAAATGGCTGTTAACAGTCCTAATTGTATGACTATAGACTACTACTTTCCTGTCACAGTTATGACAATGATTAACATTGCTTGTATTGCATTTTCGAATATGATCCAAGCTCCTCCTTGGCAAAAAGCTTAAGGAATTCCCTTAACCCTATTAACTCTAAGAGCTACGTCCATAAGAAGGCTAAAATTTGGCTATAAACCAAATTTTTTTAGGAAATCACCAACAAATGGGTGGCACAAGGCCAGCGAAAATGTTTATATACTGCTACAAAAAGCTCAATTCAATATTTTACCTAACAAATTCCCTTCAAGTGTAACCAATGAACTTCCACTTAAGTGGAATGAAAAGATTAAATTTATTTATTGAAAGGTAATTCGTGTGAGCTAAAGATATGAGGAAATTGTCAATAGATCAGCTTTGGTAGCACAAGCCCATTAATACTAGAGGCTATCCATGGTTCGAAATTACCATCAGCTAAAATATTTACTTAGAGATATGGTGCACTAATAGTGGTACTAGGGACTTTCTTTTCCTGTAAAACCTTTCTTTCAAATAAAAAATAAAAAAAATGTAAAAACTTGAAGTCATAAAACCTTGAAGTTGTAAAACACGTCTTCTTCTTCTTAAATGCCTTAATCCATGCCTTAATTCCATAAGTGGGGTTGTCTACATAAACCAACATGAGAACTTCCCATGAGGTCACGCATCCTAGTACTACTCTCAATCATTGTGGCGCAAGTCAAGCGATGTGACAAAGTTTTACACTGGCTATCCCTGGCCTACCATAACCCCCCTCCTTTATCTAGGCTTGGGATTGACGGAGTTAGTAAAAATCTTGAAATGGAGGTAAGAAATTCATATATGAACGAGCACTATAATGCATCAACTTTCCCCACCCAACCGTAGTTTGAGGATGGCCTATGCTCGATATAGTTATGTGGGAAGGGTATTTGGGGAATGTAGCTTAAATGTGTCGGTAAGGTTCGTATTAAGTGAAATTCAGGCTTATAAGAGCAATTTGTTAGAATTAGAAAGATTAAAAGGGAGGCAATTATTCCGTTATTCCATTTCTTTCTATCTAATCCATCATTGATGATTTAATAGCATGAACCAGTACAACTATAATCGATCTTGATCTTATTTTTGCATGTTTGAATAATCAAATGAAAATAAATCCCTCCATCTATTACTATTTTGTTCTACTCGCTTTCATTTTTGTCCCTTTCTTTTTCTACTCACATTGTTTTATACTTCGTACTATTTTAGGCATGCCTCATTTTCCATATTTTTCCTCTTATTACACAATACTTAAACCTTTCCACACAATCTTTTATTCACTTTTTCTTACAATCACCCATCTTTTCTTACATTTACATGCAATCTCTTTTTATATGAATTTTTTTTTTAATTGAGATACCTACAATTGTGTTAAACACAAAAGAATAGATTGAGTACAATACTATTCTTTTTTAATATGGTACTTGGATGATTTTATGGTATCTATTAGATAGTTTAGATTTTAGGGTTTAATAAACCCATGCGAGCTATTTTTACCTGTGTTCCTTTTAGTCCTCAGATATGTACTATTGTGATGCTCTTTTCTCAAATTTTATTCTTTGAGAAATATCCTCCCTGCCTGCTCCCATTCATTGCTTATTAGACCAGGGTTTTTTTATGAGTTATTAAAAGCCTCCCAGGATCATGGCCAATAGTGGGATCCATTTTGGATCATTATTTTTTGGTCTTTTGATCATTTTTGCTGTGATGGTAACGGTTGTGAAATATAATGCTGCTGTTTAATTCCTTATATGTGACAGAGTGTGAAGTCAAATTATCAGACTGCTACTGTGCCTGTGAAGAAGAAAGGAGATGATTTATCTGTCAGCTGAAACAGCACATTGTTTGATGGTTGGTAACTGTCAAGTTTCAAATTAGCCTACTTTCATGAATCATTGTATCAAATACTCCAAAACTATGGTGTCTGCAGGAACCTCATAAATTGACATTGGTTTTTCCACTTTGCTATCTAGAATATTGGTATTTAGAATTTATTCTAAAATACACCAGAGCAGCAAGAGCAAGAGGGGTCATATCTATGCGATTATATAGAACAACAAATAGAAGTTCTGTATATGTGCTGTTCGGCTGTACATGGTTCTTGGCTATCCAACTATCAGAATGTGGTCCTGTTCAGTGGCTACCCAGTAAATGATTTTTCACTTGAACTGTTTTCTTACGATTTGAGTGTGGATGTTGTTCCTCCTTTGTCTTGCATCTCAACTTTCTCGAGCATTTGACATTTAGTATCATCCTCCTCATGTCTGCTCTGTAAATATACTACTTGATGTATATTTATTTAACTTAAGATATTTGTATATATCAATTGCACGTAGTAAATATCATGTATCTTTAAGAAATATAAGTGACTTCTTTTGTTGTGAAATAATTATGCAACAGTCTATGTCTCTGCTCTCGACTCTTTGAGCCAACTTCTTTCGAGGTGTCTGTCCTTGTATATTGCTTATTATGACGTATTTTATCCTTCTGCTGTCGGTCTATGTTCTGAATGTAAAATTGCTGCTCAGATGATATGCCACCCTTGTAAGAAAAATAGTTTAAGCAACTGCTTTTAGAAGGAATGTGGCTACTATTCTTTGAAGTTTGAACACTACTTTCATTCAGTAATCCTCTTTTCTTGATGTATTTAATTCAGTAATCTAACCAAACCATTCTATTTCACTCATCTCAAACATATGTTACTCGAATTCTTCACTACCTTAAGTACCTCTATGGATCCTTGGCATTCAGACATGGGTAGGACATTTGACCCTTCATATTTTTTTTCACCTACATTACAAAATAGCCAAGTTGGACACTTATAAGCACATACGACACCGTGTCAGATATGGATAACCGACCAAGTCCGAGCAACACAGTCTAAAAGTGAATATCACCTTGACATTAAGTTGTTTGTCATTTAGTAATCTCCCTCCAATAATAGTAGTAACAAAAAAAGTAAGCGACACAAATAGATTAATAAATAAATTCAAACAGCATAATCAGAGTTGCTTTCGGCACTGCATTGCTTCAGTGGTTTTCTGAGCTGCGCAACCTTGTGTTCATATAACCTGAGTGAATGTCCATCTGGCAATGGTTAAGCTCAAAAACAGGTGTTTCTCATATTAATCTCTTTTTTAAAGGCCTTGTACTTTATTTCTGTCTTGTCACATTATTTTATTCTTGACTTCTGATTAAGCAAATCTATCACCCTGTTCCTTCCCACTTTTATTTTCATTTTCTTAGAAATTCTCTCTTGGAAATGAGGGAATGCAAATTATTCATTGATTTCACTTGACTCTTCAATTTATCTTAAGTACCCGTGTATATTATTCATCGATAATCTAACATGGCAGCACGAGTATGGATACTTGAAACTTCAAGTACTTTGTTTAGAAATAGTTGCACCATTTTGACTTTCGTATTACACCACTCTGACCATTAATTTTCTAGATATTGTACTTTTTATTTGAATTCAGGAGTTTGAAAGGTAGCTAAGCAAACAGCAACAAAGATTTACAGATGAAAAAACCGAAAAATGAGTAAAGTTTAGTATTAACAGAAACATTATCGCTTTGATTGGATACAATCTAAGACATTCCATTCCAAAATTCATATAATGTTCTAGTTTACAAATGCAAGCTTAGCAAAGCGAATTGAGGGCTTAGAGAGGTTGTTGACACGAGCAGAAGAATTTGCTACCTTGTTATTACTATTAATGCTCATTATTCTTAAACTTTGTCTGAGAATGTCCACTTCCCTTTTCCTCTTGTATTCTTCATCTTCCATTGAAGCTAATTGTGCTTTTAACACTTGAATCGTTTCGTCCCTCGCCTTTAACTCCCGTTGAAGATCTTCCATCAATTCTTCTTCGTCTGCTCTCCAGTTTAGTGTCCCTGCTTCACAATTTAAGAACTGTTAATTTACAGTCTGATAAAACCAAAATAAATTGTAACAGGTAAAATTGTAACTTCTGATTTTCAAAATATAAATTTTAACAAGTTAAATTGAAGTTTAGAGTTGGACATGATATTCACATTCATCATATAAACAGAACAATTTATTAAAACCATTATCAATTTTATCATTGCAGTGGATGTTATTGGTAAAGTCTTGCGAGTTGGTACTCAAAACCCGAAATCAAATCTCATCATAATCACCCCCTTTGTAGCTCACTATATAATAAATAACTAATGATTGAGAGGATCAGGCTAATTTATTACTACTAATTTTGTTTTCGTGAACCCAACATTAATTAGGCTTGTGAATTTCACAGAATATGATAAGAAAGAATGCTTAATTAAGACACAAAAAGTGTACCTTCATGTGTCCTTTGAATCAGATCATCAAGTTCATGCTTAATAGCAAGATACAACATCTTCCATTTTTCAACAGCTTCATCTCTTCTTGCTCTTTCTTCCCTCATCTGTTCCATCAGCGACAAGCTCGTAGCAGCAGCCGCAGCAGCAATATTACTACTATTACGACAATCTGTTGACACTCCGTCAGATGAAATTTCGCTGTTTCTTACAAGACCAATACATCCCTTGGCCTCCTCTTCCATCTGTCTGATCCTCTCTTCGCGCTCTTCTAAGCTTTTCTTTAGCCCTTTTACCTCTTCCTTGAGCTTCTTTCGCTCTTTCTTCCACTCCGCTTCCCTGAACGCAAACACCATCAGTTCCTTCTCGTAAACCTCGGTCTCTTCCTCCCTCTGCTTCAATATTGCATTGATCTCCTGCTGCAGTAGCCTCATTTTCTGTATAAACATTCTTGGATCATTCTCCCATGCATAGTTCCCTCTTTTCGGCCTGCTCGAACACACCCCCATCTACTGTTAGTATGGTATCCTTGTTTTCGGGTTTTGCAGGGTTTTCGGATTAGTGTCTGTCTGACAACTGCGCGCTGCGCGCTCCGAGTCTACCAAAAAGGCCTCTAGCACATAAGTATTGTTAACATGTGCACCCCATGGTGGAGGATGGAGAGAGTAAGAGTGGGATATGTGGTTGAGTTATAGTTGTGTTTTGGATGAGCAAAGACAAAGGGCGGTTTAAATGACATAAATTCTTAGCAGGAGAAAGGGGGGGCTTCTGTCACTGAATGAAAACAGTCTCCATATACTTTGTCCGGTTCGTTTTCGGGTTTTTTTTGGATTCATGTGAGATTTTGTTAAATTCACTTAGGGCCTATTCACATTTACTGAACAGGTCTGATTGGAGCTAATTTAAAATGAATTGAACTGATTGGAACTAAACTGAACTGAACTGAACTGAATTGAGCTGAAATGATTATTTTATGAGAGAATGAAATTAAGAGCTGAATTGAACTGAACTGATTGGAGCTAAACTGAACTGAAATGAACTGATTGGAGCTGAACTGAACTGAAATTAAGTAAATGTGAGCAGACTCTTAAGTTTACATTTCTTTTTTTTATGTATGTGTACAATAAAATTTAAAATATACATGATTTTTATATTGCCTATAACATTAACAACTAATATGGTTTAAACATTAAAATTTTAACCTCTTTCAGATTAAAAATACACAAGATGTGTATAAAATAAAAGCGATTTCAGCCTGTTTTGTGTGCGGCTAGCCACACCAAGTGGCCGGTATAAAAGAACAAAGTAATCCTTATAACATTGTCCGGAAAACTCCTGTAATATTGACTGAGTACCCTTACAACACTCACTGAGTAAACCCCTATAACACTGACTAAGTAACCCCTACAACACTGACCGAAAGTAACCCCTAATATGGTTGGACACAATGTGTAGCCAGCCACATATACACTTACAGCAATTAAGAGTATTGCTCAAGTCCAAAACCTAAAAAATGAATAGTGATATAGTACGAACCCCTAATTGTGAGATTTCGTTGTGTTAAAAATAAGATGGATCTCAACAGTGTTATTTGGTAGTTAGTGAGTTAAATTAATGGGTGTGCAATTATTACATAATTGAAGGCCCGTGAAAGAGGAGTGTCCCATGTTTAGAGAATTTTGTCAAATAATATTGGATGGAAGGATTTGTCACATGCATTTCAACATGTACACTTATTGATATTATGTACTGTAGTTCGTCGTGTATTTGATGCCAAATGTTTCATTTTTTTTCCATTATAATTTTTTATTTGCATCATTGAACTAGACTATTATGCATTTGACTAACACTAGAGTAGGCTAATTAATAAATAAATATGAAGAAGGGAGTGATGAGTGGAGGCGTGGAGCTACAACATAATTCCTAAGAGATTTCACTAAGTTTAGGTATAATTTATATATACGTTTTTGGAGTATTATGTGCCCGGTTATTTTCGTATTGTTCTTATTTAAGTTAAACTAAGAATTTGAATTTGTGACCTTGAAATCACAACTTCTCTCGGACATATTTTTAGGGATAGGATCCCTACTCTCTTCTCCCTCTCGCCAAACTTTATACGTCTCTATAATTTTGCATGTCTCCGATCCAACCATCTTACCCTAACATCTTTAAACCTAATAAAACATGTTTAACATCAAGACAATCCTCTCTTGCCCTTCAAATAGTTGAATATTGCATATTTTTTGGTGAAGGAAAAGACAAGGGAATAGAAACCAAGGGAAGGATAGAAAAAAAGTAATTATGTATCTCTACTATTTTTTTTTTTATTTTTTTTTTTTGACAAGATGTATCTCTACTATTTGGTTCAACTGTTTAAGGAGAGGGATTGAATACAATCCAATGTTTAGTTAATTATTTTTTTAAAAAATGAAAAAAAAAAAAATTGACATCAATAGTTAATTTTTGATAAAGGAACAAATGAAGAGAATGAAGACTACAACGACAACAACTAAAAAAGTCAGAAAGAGGCTGCAACGTATTCAATTTTCTTTGTTTGTGAAATACTCCAATTTTGTAAGGAATTTAAGCATTTTATAAGTTTATTTTTTCATATTATATACTTAGAGCATGTTCACATTTTACTGAACTGAGCTGAATTGAACTGAAGTGAACTGATTAGAGCTGAACTGAACTGAGCTGAAATAAATATTTTATGAGAGAAGGAAATTAGGAGCTGAACTGAACTGAACTGTACTGATTAGAGCTGAACTGAGCTGAACTAAACTGATTGGAGCTAAACTGAACTGAACTGAACTGAAATTAAGTAAATATGAACAGGTCCTTACTCCGTTATAAATTAGATAACACATTTTGACTTTAACACTATTTATAAACTTTGTTTTGAGTATGTAACATAATAACATTTGTGATTTATAGATATGAAAATACATACTAATGTGGGACCTTGTTACATTTGTTTCAATGTGTACTTAACGTTCAATTTTTAACATTTTTTACAGTAGTATTATTTAAGATATTTTCAATTAAATTTTTGCACTGACATGCCATCTAATTTGGAATGGACGAAGTATATTAATTGAAAATACGAAAAAGTAATTTTTCAAATACGAAGTGTCTCCAATATACTTCCCTCGTTTTCTTTTAAATGCAATACTTAAACTTTTACACTATTCATATATACCACTTTGTTGATGATTTATAATTAAGGAATGATTTAAGTCATGTTGGATTTTGTTAGTTCCGTCTCAATTTATACTTTATTAATATCAAATTTTTGTAACTTTTACATGTTATTAATATAAGATATTAATGATTGAAATCACGAATTGGCAAGTGTGTAATGAGAAGTATTGCATGAGAAAAATAAAATAAAATTTCAAAGTACTATCTATACTATTTAGTCAAACGGCACTTACATATAATTCCTAAGAAATCAAAAATTCCAACACAATTAATCCCTCCGTTTTTAAATACTTGCTCCACTTTCTTTTTCTGACCGTTTTTAAATAATTGCTTCATTTCCTTTTTTGGAAAGCTTTTACAATATTTAATTCATTTCTCACACTTGGTGGACCCAA